TTTGCTGGCTGTATCCTCTCCACATTTAGGGTTGTGTCTTAATGCTCTCCCCCTTTTGTCCTTGGGCCTCAGAATGGATGATTCCACATTTAGAATTGCTGTGGGTCTTCACCTAGGTCTCCCATTGTGTCACCCTCACTTCTGTTGTCATTGTGGTGGACATGTAAATATGTTTGCTACTCATGGTTTGAACTGTAGACACAGTGAAGGTTGCCATCCTTTGTCATTCATCAGTCAACTCAGTGGTACAGCGGGCTCTATCTGCTGCAGGTCCCATGGTCATCAGGAAAGCCCCTTGTCTTGGATGCCACCTGCCCAGACACTCTTGCTCCATCCTATGAGAGGGTTGCTGTTAGTTCCCCAGGAACAGTTGCCCTGTCCTCCGATGAAAAGAAGTGTGCTAAGTATGAGTCTCTGGATTGCTCATATTCCTTTACCCCTGTGGCAATAAAAACCTTGGGTGCCATTGGTCCTAAGTCCCTCAATTTTCTAACAAAGTTGGGTACCAGAATAAGAGACCATACTGGTGAGGTATCCTCCTTTTCCTATTTGCTCCAGCGACTCTCTGTGGCAGTACAAAGGGCCAACGCGGTATGGTTCTCTTCTCAAGTTATCCTGTCCTAACTCTTTTTTCTTCTCATAAGCTATTGTTTTGTTTTGCTTATTTTTGTTCCCTTTTGTGTTTTTTTCCCTTCTATCCTTTCTTCTCCTATCTCCCTCTTTCTTCCCCTTTCCTTATTATTATTATTATTATTATTGTTATTCTTATTATTGTTATTATTGTTGTTATTATTATTATTATTGTTGTTGCTATTATTATTATTGATATTATTATTATTATTATTATTACTATTATTATTATTATTATTAATTATCACTGCTGTTGTTGTTTAAGTTATTATTTAGTAAGCTAATGAATTGAACTAAAATATAAACTAGATCTAGTACTTTAGAAGTTATTGACATTAATTTTTTTACTACTGATACAAATAATTATATGTTTATATTTTTAATGATACTCTGTACTATGCTGTTATTAAAAATAATTCTTAAAAATAAGGTCATGTTTACACGACTCCACCACATCATTTTTGTTATTCCTGTTTCAGGTGTTTACACTAATCTAGCAGCTGCATTGTCATTAGAATTTATTATTTGTTTACAGAATTATTCCTTTTAGTATATGTTTTCATTTTGTTTGGATTTGATATCAGTGTAAAACCGACTATAGAGACAAAAATAGGAATATTGATTTAGCCATAGAAAAGTATGGTGCTCCATACCCGACCAAAAATATTTCTGTTTTTGTTAAAATGTAGTTGTGTAAATGTGGCCTAAATTAAAAATACATTTAAGGAAATGTAGGAAGCTCTATCTCCATGGATAATGAACTAAAGGCTCCATTGTAAGTTCATTTAAGAATTACTGATCCTTTTATATAATATTAATGTAATACTGAGTTGATATCATGTTATTTTCAGTCTAGGCTGCTGAAGTTGAGGCTGAAGGCTCTGGACTTATGAGTAATTGTAAGTGATATAGTATTATAACCAAGAGACAATAATTTAATAATATTACTGTTGTTCAAAAATTGGGTCAAAGTATCGAGATGAAATTGGCAAATTGTTTAAGACGGCTGCAACTCAAAAAATATTTATCGGAAACAGCTCAAACTTTCTACACAGCATAAAGTTATTAATATGTAACAGAAAATGTAATAAAAATTTGGAGTGATTTTGGAGCCATTTTTAAAGAAAAAACCATAGCCTTGGGTACTTTTCAAAAATTGGCCGATTTCTTATAATGGCCATAACCCAAGAAATATTTGTCAGAATCAGCTCAAACTTTCTACACAGCATAAGGACATCAATATGTATCACAAATTGTAATAAAAGTTTGGAATAATTTTGGAGCCATTTTTAAAGAAAAACCATAGCCTTGGGTACTTTTAAAAAATTGGCCGATTTCTTATAATGGCCATAACTCAAGACATATTTGTCAGAATCAGCTCAAACTTTGTACACAGCATAAGGACATCAATATATATCAAATTATATTATTATTATTATTAATATTTTTATAGTGATCTAATTGATAATCATGGTGTGTGCATACGAGTGTTAGGTGATATTAAATTATTACCAACTGATGTACAAGAATCAGTAGCAAGAGCTGTGACAATGACTAAAAACAATAACAATTAAGTACATGTACATGTACTTATTATAATTACATAAAGTATACTTACTTGTACTGGAAAGTGTGTCAGTATATCAGCATAGTTGGCAAACAACTTTGTTACCAGAGACAGACAAACTACTGTCCAAGCTCCACACTACATGTACAGTAAATTTGTAAATACATGTAGAGTGGACATGTACTCATTATTGTGTGTAGACCACATAATTAGAATACTTTTTGTAATGTGTGCATGAGGTTGATTGTAGTTGTGCTACACGTAGTTATTTCATTCATCAGGTAACTATAAGCCTCCTCTATCTAAACTGCCCATACCTTAG